TGGCAGCCCTGACAGCGTGGTCTCTTTGGGCCTTTCTAACTTCTGGTTTCTGATTCCTCTTGGCCATTATATCAGCAAGAGATGCACCAGTGATGGCCCTCTGAAATTTGACTGCTCGTCGTGGTGTTCTTTTCTTTTGAATTTCTTCCGATTGTCCCTTTTTGTGCTTTCTTCTGTAGAGGACAGTCCAGTTTATTTGCCAAGGATTTCTCTTGGAAAGGAATGCAGGGGCTGGTGAGATGGCTCATTGGTCTAAAGCACCTACTTAGAACAAGTTAAGCTAAGCAGAGCACAGGGACCGCAGTTCAATCCCCCAGCACCACATGCCAGCCAGCCCCGCCCCCTGGTGGGCTGAGCTGCCCCCCCACAAATAAATAAATAAAATAAATAAAAATTTAAAAAAAAGAAAGGAATGTGGACTCGCATTTTGCATTCAGAACCTGGAAGACCTTCCTGTTGGTCCTGGCGCAGTGCCTCCCGTGTCCCGGGTGGCTCTTGTACCCGCTGAAGCTGCACAGCTGGACCTTCATGGTGGCAGCTGGCAGTCAAGGCGGAAGATGGCAAAAAGCGATGGAAGATGTTTTGAAGTCACTGGATACCAGTGTTACCATTCACTTGTGACAGTGAAGTTTCTTTCAACATTGCCAAGTCCCCTAGAGGACAAAATTTTGTGTGTGTGTGCGGAACCAGGGATTGAATTCAGGGTTCTACTGAGCTATCTCCCCAGCCCCTAGAGGGCAAAATTGGCCCTGTTAAACACTGGGCTGCAGGGACCAGGGTTTGATTCTGGTCTCACATGCCCAGCTGGCCCTGCCCATGGAGCATGCTGACCCCTCATCAGAGTCTGGTGTCATGGCACACACCTGTAATCCCAGTGTGGCTTTCCTTGTTATGTTTAGATTTTGTTTTGTCTTGGTAATTTGGAATTTGACCCTCTGGTTTCTTTTTATTTTTTCCTGGTGTTCAGGGTTTCACTACTAGATAGGGCTCGCCGTGATCTGCCTGTTTTTTACAGCCTCCTGAGAGCTGGGATTGCAGGTGTGTGCCACCACGCCCCAGTCTTAGCACGCCCTGGGGCAGGGCTGGCACGGGCAGGCCTTGAGACTGCACCCCTGTCCCCTGCACCTGCTTGCAGGCACTTTAATCCATTGAACTATTTGGCCAGCCCTGACACTCTGATTTCTGTAGAAGTGATACGCATAAAAAGTTTCCTTGGGAAATTAATAGAGAAGGGCTTCTGGAAGAAAGATCGGTCTGGTTCATTTTCTTCAGTTTAATAAGTAAGCAGGGGAAAGACAAGACGGAGGTGTCACAGACTGCTGTGCAACCCAGAGTCCAAGCAGGGCACTCCCAGGCCACAACCTGCTGTGCCTTTACAGAGACCCAGGCGCCCTGAGCTCAGTAAGCCCGTGGAAAGCCCAAGGTGTGAGCAGTAGTTTGGGTATCCAGCAGGCTGCAGGACAAGTGAAGAAAGGTTGGGGATGCCTGTATTTGTGGCCCTAATCTCCTGTTCTCATGGATCTAAAAACCTCTTTACTCTCCTTGAGCTGGAAAAAAAAAATGTGAGCACTGTGCAGCTCTCTGCTCAGAGGAAGAAACCCTGGGCTGCCTGGCTGGCTTTCTCTCGTTCTTTTTTGTCTTTTTGAGATAGAGTCTCGCCATGCAGCTCAGGCTGGTCTCAAACTCGCCACGATCCTATGCCTCCTGAGCGCTGGCATTACAGTGTGCACTACCAGGCTGGGCAGTATGGCTTCCTTTTTTTCTTACTAGGAGTTGAACTTAGGACCTTCCACTAGCCAGGCAGGTGCTTGTGCCGCTGAGCTGTAGCCTCAGTCCCCTTTTGTAGAACCTGTCAGCCAGAGGCTGTCTTCAAGGTCACCTCCTACCCAGGGTGGCGTTCAAGAGTCCCAGTAGCCTAGCAGCGACGTGAAAGGACCGGCCTGTGGCCAGGCCCTTTGGGACCCACGCTTCTCTCTGTCCGAGCGCCGACCAAGGCCTGCCTCCATGTCTCTTCGCAGTTTGGGCCTAGAAGGGCAGATGTTGGGGGTGGGTCGCTGGTAGCTGGGTGTTCACCCAATCTGGGAGCTGACCCAAAACCCGGTTTCGGAGAAACTCTTCTCAGGGCGGGGCTCAGACTCGGCTTTTCGACCTAGCAAAGTCCCACGTACTCGGCCGCCGCTGCCCGTGGGCAGGCCAAGAACTCAGGTGAAAACAAGGCTTGGGTTAGTCCAGGGTGGCCTGCGCCAAGCCCACGGAGGGAACAAGGAAGTCCCGGTTTCGCCAAGGTCATCTGCGAGACTGGGACAAGGGGTCCGCGGGGTCCGCGGGGTCCGCGGGGTCCGCGCCTGGCCCCACCCCTCAGCCGGCAGCTGAACCCAGACCGCGGAGGCGGAAGTGGGACCGCCCGGGAACTACGCGAGGGTCGGGGGCGTGTCTGAGTGCTTCCCCAATGAGGGCCGGCCTGCGCTGGGCGTGGCCCAATGAGGCCTCGGGAGGGCGGGGCTTACATGAGGTCCTCCAATGGACACATTCGCCGAGCTCCACTCCCCCGTAGAGATGAGGAGGGGCGGGGCGGACCCGAGCACTCTCGTCCAATGGGCCGCAGCCCAAGGGGGCGTGGCACTGGGCGAAGGCCGGCTCTCCCAGTGACCGGCTGCGCCGGCCCCGCCGCCCTCACAGTCCCGTCGGCGGACGCGTCCGCAGCATGGCCGGCCTGGCGCGGCCGTGCCCGGGCCCGCGCGCCGCGATGCCCGCCTGGAAGCGGGAGATCCTGGAGCGCAGGCGGGCCAAGCTGGCCGCCTTGGGCGCGGGCTCGGCGGCCGGCGTGACCCCCGAAGGCTCGGCGGAGTCACTGGTGCTGGCCGAGAGCCTGGGCCCGCTGCGCGAGAACCCGTTCATGCGGCTGGAGTCGGAGCGGAGGCGTGGGGCGCGGCCGGCGCAGCCGCTGCTGGAGCTCTACTGTCGCGTGCCGGGTGTGCGCACCATCCGCGCCGACAACATCCTCATCATCGAGTCGGCGCCCGGCTTCCCGCCCGCCGCGCCTGCCGCTGCCGGCATTCGCGCCGCCGAAGTGCTCGTGTTTGAGGCGCCGCCGCCGGGCCGCGTCAGCCGCCTCCTGGAGAAGTTCGACCCGACGGCGGCGCCGGGCCGCCGCGGCAGCCCGGAGCGCGCCCGGCCTGGGCCGCCTTCACCGCCGGCCCGCGGCCCGCGCGCGTCCGTCTCCCGGCCCGCCGCGCCTCCAGATCCGCACCCCACGAACCCCGGTCCGGCTGCATCCCCAAGTCCGCCACCCGCGCCTCCTGCTTCCCACACCGGCCAGCGCAACGCCTGCTTCGAGCCCGGGCATCCCGGAGGCGGGGCCGGCCCCCGGGACCGGCGCAGCGACTTCCTGCAGAAGACCAGCAGCAACTCCTTCACCGTCCACCCCCGGGGCGTGCCCCGCAGTGCGGACGCGCGCCCGCCCCCCAATGGGCCCGCGATCCCCAAGCCCCGAGTTGGCTCTGCCAATGGGCTCCGGGGCCCCGCGCCCGTACCGAGAGAGTGGAATTCCGAATGGAAGCCAAAGGTGGAGTCAGGGGAGCCCCCGCTCCGCCCGCCCCCAAGTCCCGGGACATCGAGTGCCACTCCAGCCGCGTCCACTGCCTTCCCAGCCCACGTGCCCAGCCCTGCTAGTGCCACTGCAAGCCAGCGTCAGTGGGTCTCCTCTGCCACCAGCGCCAACAACTCCTTCGAGATAAAGCCGGCCCCTAAGCCAGACATGGACACCATCCCTTTGGGGGATCTCCAAGCCCGAGCCCTGGCGTCGCTCCGTGTGAACTCCCGGAATTCCTTCATGTTCATCCCCAAGTGGAAAGTCTCTGAAGCCGCTCCTTCCGAAGGGAGACAGTCTGTGGAGCTGCCAAAGGGAGCAGCAAGTCAGGTCTCTCAAAGCCAGAAGCTTGGAGCCCAGCTGGCACCCAGAGAGGATGGTGCATCTGCTCTGGGGAGGAGCCCCGAGGAGGTCAAAGTGCAGTGGGGTGTTGATGCGGACTGTCCCCGGCCAGCCACTGCCCTCACAGACCGGGCTTCTAAATGGCAAAGGCCATCCTCTCCACCCCTCTTCCTCCCAGCCACTGCTGAAGCTGAGCCTACTGGGGACTTGGGGGTTCCTGGCTTGGCCAAGAATGTCCAGGAGCCTGGGAGGCCAGGACTGCCTGTCACTTTCATTGATGAAGTGGACTCTGACGAGGAGGACCCCCAAGAAGCCAAACTGCCCTGCTCAGGGCCTGGTGTGCCTTCCCAGTACCACCTACACCCTGTCCAGCCTGGGAACATCTCAGCACTCCAGCACCGGGGCAATAACACCTTCACGGTGGTACCCAAGAGGAAGCCTGGGTCTCTGCGGGAACTACACTTCCATCGGGCCAATGGGGAGCCCGAACTACAGGAGGGTGAGGAAGAAGAATCCAGTAGCCTTTTGGGGCCCCAGTCTGCCCTAAAAATCACGTTGAAGAAGCGCTACCCCACTGTGCATGAAATCGAAGTGATCGGTGGCTACCTGGCCCTGCAGAAGTCTTGTCTCCTCAAGGCTGGCTCCTCCAGAAAGAAGGTCAGTGGAGGAGGGAGGAGGTTGGTGGAGCTTCCTGCCAGCAGGAGCGAGTGGAGTGGCAGGTGCAGGAGTTGTGGGTGGTTGCAACCTTGTTCCTGGGATGTCTGGCTTGACCACAGAGAGGTTCTGAATGACCAGAAAACTGGGCTGTGTGGTCTGCACCAGGATCAAGCCCTGCTGGAGCCTTGGAGCCTGGGGCTTGGGGATGTGGGCCTACTATATATCTTGAAGAATGTGTGTGTGTGGTAGTGGCCAGGAAGTGCCAGCCTCCTGCTGGAATTAGCTGGACAGGCCAGAACCCTCGGGTCCAGCTGGAAGGTTCTTATGGGTGCAGCTGTAAGGAACAGTCTGGGCCTCTTAATTTTGCCCTACTGGCTGGTGCGGGTAGCTGGGGTCAGAGGGGCTTGGGCACAGGGTAGGAGGTCAGTGGCATAATTCCACCAACCCCTGTCTTAAGGCAACTCTAAGCCCCGCCTCCACTCATGCAGCCTGCAGCGGCGTGCATCAGGCAGCTGAGGAGCTCTCCTCGGCAGACCCTGGTTGTGCAGGTGTGGACCACGCTGGGGCTTGTGGTTGGCCTGCTTAGGAGAGGCTCTGGGCAGATATGCCTCCCAGCCAGAGGCTCGGGCCTGGGGCCCAGTGAGCCACATACTACCTAGCGGGTCCTGGCCAGCAGCCTGGAACCCTCTGGGCATAGGGAAGGCATTCCTCAGAGTCTTCCTGGTTGTTCCAGACTTACTTATGTGTGTCCCTGGGGCAAATTCCAAGGCCAGCCCTAAACAACTTCTTTTGAAGCCTAGGCAGGTGTGCCTTTCCTTTTAGCTTTATGGCGCCTGAGACACACCTCTGGGCCCACTGTGTGGTGTCTAGGAGCCCTCCAGCCATTTCTTCTCCCAGTCTCAGTTTTCTTGGGGAGACCGGGTAGTAGTGACTGTGCCTTCTGGCTCCCTGGAAAGAGACCTGATCTCCCCTCTTTTGATTTTTCCTCCCCCTCTTTGCTTCCTGCTCCATCCTGCCTGCATTGTCTTCCCTTACTTGGGTAAGGGCATTGGCCTCCAGTTGGCTCCATCTGCCTTGGTGGGCATCCCTGATGATCTCCACATGGGCCCGTTCCCTCCCCTAGCCAGCTCTCCAGTCCCTCTTGCCTTCTTGTCTCATTTTTCCCATTTCCTGATCCTGACCTTGGCTGCTCTAGCAGGGAGTCCCTCCCCATGCTGCCCCCAAAGTAGGAAGGGTGGCATTTCCCCCCTGGTGGAGGAGACTGGGGCTTACAGGGTCATGGAGCCTGTAGGATTGGAGCTAAGTTCCTGTCTCTGGAGCCCTGCCCCTAACCTGGCTTGCCCACCCAACATTAGCTTGGTTTCTTCTCCCATGAGTCCAATCATTCTGCCTCCTGCAGACAAAGCCATGGGGTCACTAGTAGTTGGGTTAGAATGAGAAGGACAGTAGGCCCAAGCACAGCAGGAGGAGAAGGAGTAGTGGGAGGCAAGGCTGAGATAGAGAAGCAAGCCTTGTCTTGGCAGCTTACCCTGGTGTCTGAGCCAGCCTGAGGGGTTGGGGGTCCAGATGGAGGATGCCTGGCATGGCCAAGAAGCCTGGGCAGGGCCCTGCTGGAGTAGCACAGCCTGCTGGCCATGATGTCCTGCCTGTGTGTGGACCAGCTGCCCTGCCCAGCAAGAGCTGTGTGCCTGCCAGGAGATGGGCCTGAGGCTTCCGGCCTCTTGAGTGCGGCATGAGGTAGGGCACCATTGCTCCTGTTCTTCTGCTGTGCCCATCCTGCTGCAGCCCTTCGCTCTGGGTGCCCAGGGTGGGGTTCCAGGGTGGGTCCCTGGCCACTCCAGTCAGCCTGTGGTTGGGTCACTGCTGCTTTTCCTTCTTCCATGGGAAGTGGGACTGGGGGGATTGGCTGATGGCTCCTTTGGGAACCTCTGTGGCCTGCTGTCTCCAGGGAAGCGGGGAGAAGGTCTGGTGGTTTTTTCAGGGCACAGGGGAGGGGCAGTCCAGCAGAGGGTATCATGCCTCTGCCTTGGAGGGCCACAGCCCTGCTCTACATCGGGGTTGCCTCCTCTGCCTGTGCTCCTAGGATGCCGCCTGCCAGGGCAAAGGAGCCAGGTGCCCTGTCCCTCCCTTCACTCCAGACTTGGGCTGACTGCTGTAGGCCTCTGCAGCACCCCCACTACCCCCAAACCCCCATCCCACCTCTCCACCCCCACCCCCTCCCCTCCTCACTGCTCCCAAGGGATTGGGCGCTGTCTGCCACTCCTCTGTAGAGCGCCACCTGGCCTGGCTCCTGCTTGTCTGGCTGCTTCGTCCCCTCCCCACCTCCCAGTCCTCTGCCCAGAGCTTGTCCGTGTCCCCAAGGTTCAGTTCTCAACACTTGGGGCTGCCAGCCTCCTGCAGTGGAGTTTCTACCCTGACTTCCAGGGCCACCTCGTGTCTGCAGGCCTGAGGACCTGTAACCAGCACAGACTCTCCTACCACCCTCCCTCAAGGTGCTGCCCATTCCCCAAACCTGTACCTTTTCTTCCAGTCCCCTCCCCTCCCCTTCCCACAGGTGACCCTGGGAATGGTGTGGCCCCTGCCCTAGCCAGTGTGCTCAGGGAACAAGCAGCTGGGGCCATCCCAGCTGGGCTGGTGTGGTCTTGTGTTCTGTCTCTCATAGAAACTCTGAGTGGGGGATGGGAAGCTGCAGGTGGCAGGGCAGGCTGAGCCCAGCTCTCTGGTCCTGAGTCCAGAGTGGACACCCTTCAGTTACCCAAGCTGGGCATGCACAGGCAAGGGAGGTCTGCGGGAGAACAAAAGGGCTCTGTGAAAGTCTAGCTCTCCCACCACCTGCCTGCATGCTGGGTGCGATGGGCAAAGTCTCCTGGAGGCTGGTGACTGGTCTATACAGCCCTGTCCTTGACCACACGTGCACCCATCCCATCAGGGGTCTGGAGGCTGTACCTCGCCCCCACAGCATGAGTCATACAGTGTCCCATGACCCACTGACCTGGCTCTGAAGGGGAGGAGACAAGGGTGGCAGCTGGGGCAGACAGCCTGTGAGCATACCCCTCACCCAGCCAGGCTGTGCCAGGCTCCAATCTCATGTGTGCGCCCAGCCCCCTCAGCTTCCTGCACAGAGCTGGTCATGTGACTGGCGAGGGCACACTAATCCAGCTGGCCCGTGGCAGCTGGTCTTTCCTGTGTACTTGGTCAGGGGGATGGGCCTAGTCAGCAGGGATAGCACCATATACGCAGGGCTGATGAAGGCCCCTTCCTGTGGGGCTTGGTAGTTCCATCCTGCTGTAGACCCTTCTAGAGGGTCTAGGTGACACTGTGCCCAAGCCACCTGGAGGGGGCTGCATCCTTGTGGGCTCTGGCTCCACCACCCTGGCCCCGCCCCTGCCAGGCCTCCCATGGGATCACAGCTGGTGGACTGGGCAGTTGAGCCAGAAGGCAGGGCTGGGCGAGGGACGGTGTGCCTTCCCATATCAGGCAACCTCACCACCTGCCCACCTGTGCAGAAAGCCCAGGTACAAGTGTTGTGAGTATCCAGGGATGGGGACCACAGGAGCTCAGACAGTGCACAACCCCTTCGTGGTGGAGAGAATGGTAGCCCTTGGTGTCAGCAGGGACAGGAGGAAAGAGCGTGCCTTTCACAGTAGTGCCCTGCTCCTGGGGGCCACAGTACCTTCCCATGGCATATGCCAAGCTCTTTGTTGCCCTGTGCTGCCTGGGTGGGCCCAGCCCTCCTGCCAGGTCACATTTTCCTGTTGCACCTGGGCTGCCCTGGTTCTCTGCCTGGGGCTGCTCCTGCTTTGGTTCCTTCCAGGGAAGGTGGGGGAACTTGAGCTGGCTGCTGGTGTCCTGTGCCCAGGAGTTTAATATTTCGAGCCCCAGCAGGGCCGTTCCCATCTGCCACAGGCGGTGGCTACTCATATTCATTACCGACCTGCTATGCCTGGGCTGGCATGGCTGAGCAGGCCGTGGGTGCTCAGCTCCCGTGGGCAGCCCAGCCCCAGCACAGCCTGGCCTGGAGCTCACCCTGCAGGCCAGGTTGCACCCACAGCCCCCGACCCTGCCTGCCCTAGTGCCACTCTAGCTGGGCACAGGCCCTAGGGAGGTGAGGCTCACTTGGCTGCAGGTGCTGCGAGTAGGCGGCAGGGCGGTGATGGTGTGGCCTGTGAGAGCCGCCATGATGCCTGGAGCTGCCTTCTGAGGCAGCAGTCACCTTTGTAGCCCTTGGCAAAGTGGTGCTCTTGCTTGCCAGGACAGAATGTAGATGTGGCTTTGTGCTGAGGAGGAGGATGGGCGGTGCAGGCCTTCAGGAGGAGGAATCTCCTTCCTTACACAGGCCCCTGCGAGCTGAAGGTACCCCTCAGCACCCCGTACCCGTTTGGCCAGAGGGCCTGTGCCAGATATCCCTCTCTCCCCAGATGAAGATCTCCTTCAATGACAAGAGCCTGCAGACTACCTTCGAGTACCCCTCTGAGAGCTCCCTGGTGCAGGAGGAGGAACTGGATGCTGAGCACGAGGAAGAGGAAGGTGAAGATGGAGAGGAGGAAGAGGAGGAAGGTCCCAGTACTGAGAAGCCCTTCACCCTCTTCCTGCCCCGGGCCACATTTGTGAGCAGTGTGGGGCCCGAGAGCCCCCAGCTTCTGGACAGCAAGTCAGGTGAGTGCCCACCTGCTGGCATGAGCAACTTGGGAAGGGTGGAGCTAGGCCACTCATCCCCCCATGCACATGTCCCTGCACGTAATCCTTGGTCCCCAGGTCTGTCCAGCTACACTCCCAAGCACTCCTTGGCCTTCAGCAAGTGGCAGGAACAGACACCGCTGCAGGCTCCATGCGAGGTGGAGCCCCCGCCGAAGGAGGTCATGGTGAGTCCAGCACATGGGGTTGGACACCCACAGCCCCAGGCCATCCAGCAGGGGTGAGGGTGGTGACGCCTGGAGAAGACTCAGTGGCTGCATTCTGTCTCTTCTCAGCTCACACCTGCCAGTCAGAATGACCTCTCGGACTTCCGCAGCGAACCAGCCCTTTATTTCTGATCCTCAGCTGTTAGGCTGGGAGCTGGACAGTGCCCAGTTCTGCCTGTATCCTACACTCCCTTCCAGGGGCTGGGATGTGCTGGCCTGGGAGGCAGCGGGCCTCATGCTGTTAACTCCAGGTTAGGGGCTCTAAGAGTGGTGACAGGGAGATGCCTGTGGGGAGGGCCAGCTCCTGCTGGATGGTGGCACACCTGTGACCAGGAACTGTAGGCTGCCCTCTATCCTGCCAAGGCTGTCTCCCAACCCCTGCATGCGGGGCCCAGCTCTGTCAGGCATGCCCAGGAAGAGCTGCTATTCTTTGCAGGACCCCAAGCCCCCACCCTCAGCTCACATTCCCACCCTTTCTGACCTATGGCAACCTTTTCTTGCCTCTGATATCAGACTCAATAAACAGCACTGGACAAGGCCGCCTCTGTCTCCCCTGCTTAGTCCCCAGACTGAGAATGGGAGGGCCCAGTGGGTGGTTGTGCTGGTAAGTACTAGGGGCCCAAGTCTGGTACCCTTGCACCATGAGGTCTAGGCTCTTGCCATCCTGCTTTCTGGGTCACAGTCTCAGAGCTGCATGGCGTGGATGAGATCCGGCCTGCTGTGTGGAATCTAGGACACTGACCCAAGGGCCGGAGACCGGGGGAGGAGGGTGGTTGTTTTTTGGGGGTTTTGTAAGGTGGACAATATAGTACAGAACACATTTAATAATACAATGAATCACCCAAAAATCATATACAAGAAGTGCAGGAAAGACCCAAAGGTCAGTGGTGGAAGCTAGAAAGTATGCCAGTGGAAAAAGGATCTGTTCTAGAGGGCTGAGGGATCTGAACGGGAGCAGGAAGCAACACTCAAGAAAAGCACCAGAGGTCCCCCAAAAGTACCACGGCCATCCTCAGCAACAGTGAGGTCCCAAGGCCTGTCAATGAAAGCTGAGTGCCCATCAGGAAAGCCAATGCAACAAGCTTCTCCAGGAGGCCGAGCAGAGCACCACCTCCCCCTCCAGAGCTAGGAGTGATGCTCAAGATGAGGACCAGAGCTCCTCCCAAGTTCATCAGGAGCCAGCACGACAAGGTCCTCCAGAACAGCCCAAGAGGACTAGTAGCTTCTAGTAGCTCCAAGGGCTTCTCTAAACAGCATCCTGACAGCTGCTGTTCTGCCTTTTATGCTGCCAGCAACACTCCCCAGGTGGGCCTCCCACACTCCGCACACTAGGTCAGGTCAGCTGGGTGTAAGAAGCTGACCACCAGTTAGCTACGCACCACAAGGGTGTGGCTGCTGGGCTTGAAGCTTCCCTGCAGGCCCACTGCCTGGGTAGGGCAGAGGGGGTGCTGCATAGGAGCAGGGGGTGGTCTTGTAGCTCCTGCCTCATTTGGCTTGGAAGCCTCTGACCCCTAAGTTTACAGTAAGGCTGTGGCAGCAGCTGGCCCATGAGGCCTGCCTGGTGTGCTCCCCAGGAGATACGCTCTCAGCTGCCTGGGCAGCCACAGTGCAGAGGTGGAGTGGTCTGCGGTCCAATGGCAAAACATACTCAGGTGTCAAATGCAAACATGTCTTCATCCTGGAGAACAGAATCCATTAACAGAGATGCCTGGTGGCTCCAGAGGGAGAGGGGTGTCTCAGGTGGTTCCCCAGCAGGGGCTGGCCAGCCTTCTCTGGACTGTCTAGCTTAGCACCTGTTTCCCAACCAGCCCTGAGCAGCGGGGCCTCAGTTGCTCAGCTGGGCAGTAACAGGGCTCAGAGCAGGATGGGAGTGGGCCACACCTCATGTATGGCAGCAGGAAGAGGGGCATTAGGCTCAGCAGCAGCGGTGGTACCTCAGGCCAAGCAGGACTGTGGCACTGACAGGAACAGTCCTTGGTGAGCGGGATCTAGGTCCAGAGTGGCTGGTGTGCATACTCAGCAGTCACCAGGAACCCCAAGGGACAGGCTCTGTGCCAGGCACTCTGGTGTGGCAGAGCCCCTCACAGGAGGGCAGGCTGTGTGCTGGACTCGTTGCAGAGGCCCAGTGGTCCTGCTGGGAGAGCAGAGGGCTGCTGCCACCCTGTACCTCAGCTCTGCATTCCTAGAAACCCAGGCACCGTGGCAGGGAAGCCTGCATTTCCTCCTCTCCCCTCCCCTGCTGCTGCTACTGCTACTGGACAGGTCTTACTCTCGGCTCTGGGAGGGCCTGGCAACCTGCATCCCAGGCAGGCAGCAAGCTGGCACGGATCTTTGCAAAGACAACCTTTATTGATAGCTATAGGCTGTGGGGCTAGGCGTTGAGACTGGGGATCTGGGGTGCAGGAGGCACCCTTTCTCGAGGGTCTGAACCAGGGGCCCCACAAGCTGAGAAGGGACAAACAGAAGGGTTCCCACACCGCTGTGACTACACTAGGACCAAAACCTCTAGCACGCCAAGGGAGTGAGGCCCTCAGAGGCCCTGTGGAGCTGGCGAGGGGCCCGCTGGCCCACACTCCATGCCAGCAGAGAACTAGGGCCTCACCCATCGGCTGCGCCAAGCGCTCATCACCGAAGGGCAGTGGAGACGCAGCTGCGGCCTGGGCATCGGCACCACGAAGAATAAAGATGCTTCAAGACAGACGTGCAGTGGGCTGAGTCATCACAGCACAGCAGAGACGGCGCCTGCGGCGGCCTGGCCCAGCCCACCGAGCTGCGTCAGCTCTCCTTGCCTCCACTGCTCTTCTGCTCTGAAGCTGTGGCCTTGGCCAGGTTCCCGGCCTCTCTCTTCAGGACGTTAAGCAGCGTCTGCGAGCTCTCCAGGATCTAGGGGCCACAGAAGCAAAGGGTCGCCTCTGTTTCTCCTCCTGGGAAACCCCACCGCCCCCGTCCCCCGCTCGGGGCCCAATCATGGCTGCGTGCCCACAGGGAGGGCAGGCGAATCCTCTTTTGCCTCCTGCACCGGCCCCACGCCCCGCCCTCCCACCTCGCCATGGCGGGCTGAGTCAGCCCCAACTCACACCGTGAGCTCTACTCCACGCTACTCTTCAGGAAACTAAACACGGTGAGGACCCTGGGCTCGAAGGGCCGCAGACGGCCGCCCTCGTCGGCCCAGGTCGCGCCGCTCCAGCCCCACACGCCGCCGAGGTGCACAGGCCGAGGCTGGTAACCCCACCTTGAGGTAGGCGGCCTCGGTCTCCGCGATGGTGCGGTCAAGGTCGTTCAGAGAGGCGATCTTGAGCTGCAGGCTCTCGTCGACGCAGGTCAGCTTCTCCGTCAGCTGCCTCACCTCGCCCTGCAGCCGCTCCTTCTCCTCCTCCTCCTGCTGGATCTGCTGGTACAGCTCCCCCCGCTTCTGACACAGCTCCTCGATGTCTAGGCGGGCGGGCACGACGCTGTGGGCCCGGGGCCGCCGGCGCCCGCCCTGCCAGCGCCCGCTTCAGACCCCGCCTCCCGGCCGTCCACCCGCTCTCCCCGGCTCACACATGACCAGCTCGTTGTTGTAGTTCTGCAGCGCAGCGCCCTGCAGAGTCATGGTGGGTGCCTCGCTCGGCCAAGCTAACCGACGCCGGGCTGGGGCGTCGTACGTCATCGCTGCGCGCCCACCAGTGCGGCGCTCCCCCGGCGCCGCGTCTCCTCAGCGTCACTCTAGCCGGCCTCAGGCTTGCGTCATCTCTCCGCGCCGTGCCTGGAGGAGGCGCTGGACCCTAGAGGGGAGCGGATGGAGACCGAAGAGGCTGCCGAGGTGACGGCAGCAGTGTCTGGGGACAGCAACCCTGGGCCTGGACAGGAGCTGCTCGTGGCTTGGGATACCGTGAGCACCGGGCTGGTTCCGCCGGCTGCGCTGGGGCTGGTGAGGCTCAAGAAAAGAACGGCCGGCCCGTGTGGAGTTCACGAGACCTTGCGCGGATGCACCCGGCTCCGTCGCGGACCGCAGCCGGCTTTTCTCCTTCTGTTGTCCGTCCCTTTCGGCTGCCGGGAGGCGCTCTAGCGTCGGCTGTGGGTGGGGACATCGGGCTTTCCGCGTGCTCTTCTCGGCCCTGTCCCTCCCCCGCCTTTCCCCATCTCTGTCGCATCCCTTTTCCGCACGTTTCCCATTTTCCAGGCATCTTCTCGGACCAGTGGTGCGGTGCCGCCCAAGGAGGAGGAGCTCCGTGCGGCGCTGGAGGTTTTGAGGGGCCACGGTCTGCACTCGGTCTTGGAGGAGTGGTTCGTGGAGGTGCTACAGAACGACCTGCAGGCCAGCATCTCCCCCGAGTTTTGGAATGCCATCTCTCAGCGCGAAAACTCTGCCGACGAACCCCAGTGCCTTCTGCTGCTCCTTGACGCCTTCAGCTTGCTGGAGAGCCGCTTGGATCCCTACCTGCGTAGCCTAGACCTTTTGGAAAAATGGACTCGCTTGGGTTTGCTGATGGGCACTGGTGCTCAGGGGCTTCGAGAAAAGGTCCACACCGTGTTGCGGGGAGTCTTGTTCTTTTCCACCCCCAGGACCTTCCAGGAGATGGTCCAGCGCCTCTATGGGCGCTTCCTAAGAGTCTACATGCAGAGTAAAAGGAAAGGGGAAGGGGGCACAGACCCAGAACTGGAAGGGGAATTGGACAGCCGGTATGCCCGCCGCCGGTACTATCGGCTCCTGCAGAGTCCGCTTTGCGCAGGCTGTGGCGGTGATAAGCAGCAGTGCTGGTGCCGACAGGCCCTGGAGCAGTTCCACCAGCTCAGTCAAGTCCTGTGAGTACTGTTTGGTGGCCGTGTCCTTGTTCTCCCTGATTCTCTGGAACCAGCTGGCCTCTAAAGAGAGCTGGTGAGCTGGTAGGGAAAGTGGTATCTCTCACATGTTCTGATAGCCAGGACCTTAAGAGGGAAGCTCCCAAGGATCCCCGTTTGACAGGCTTATGCTGTGTTCTGGACACACCTGGAGGGTTTTTCTTTTCTGACACACTTTCCCCAGGGTTCCAGCTTTGCCTTTGCTAAGAGCCCACCCACTTAGCTGCTATAGTAGATTTGGTTTCAAACTTCCTGGGCTTTACAGAATTCTGCTCTGCTTGTTGTAGATCCCCTCGGGGAGAAATGACGCCTACTTTTCAAGGAGTTTCTACCTCCTAACTTAATAACGGGCTTGCTATTTCTTTTCAGAATGTGTCAAAGAGACCATGCCAAAGTCTGGGCATGTGGGTGCCCTTTCCAGTCCCTCGGGGAGGAAATCAGAGCCAGGACCCAGTGTGACTCTCTGGGGACTGTCACACCCTCTGTGGTGACTTGGGGTGCTTTGTCACACTGAAAGTGCAGGAGTGTAGCTGTTTGGAAGAGTCTTTCAGGTTGACTGAGAGAGTGATCTTGCTGGTAGGGGTCAGATGTCTCAGCAAACATAAATGCTAAGGGCTTTTGCTGAGTTTCTCCCAGGTGAATACTGTATGGCAATCTTTTCCCTCCCCAGTTTTGCTTGCCACTATAGACTGGGCTCTGCCCTAATAACTTACACATCCATGGCTGTAATTTGTGCAGTAGCGCAGTGCTACATCAGTGCCCTCACTAGCCAAAGGTTGGGTTCTGGCAGGCTATACCTTCAGGTCTTATGGGGAAGGCCAGCAACCCAGCCTAGGCAGGGGCCAGCTGGGCAGGAAGTGCAGCGCCTTGCCAGTGCTCTGTCCTTGCAGCAGCTTTTCCTTGAAGTTGTTGGTATAGGTCCGGGAGGGCCCATCGAACATGGGCCTTGATGTGTTCTGTGGACAGGGCCATCCAAGGGGTGGGGCAGGGATGTACTGTGCGTGATCCACGTGTGGGGCTTTCCTCTAGGCACAGGCTCAGTCTGCTGGAGCGGGTGAGTGCTGAGGCAGTGACCACCACCCTGCACCAGGTCACCCTGGAGAGGATGGAGGACCGATGCCGAGGCGAGTATGAGCGGTCCTTCCTGCGTGAGTTCCACAAGGTGAGAATGCGCTGCTTTGAGCTGTACCCTGCCAGGGGTGGGAACAGGTGTGTTGCAAGCCTGACCCCTGGCTTGAGAATTAACCCAAGTAGTCATGAATGGATGAGATCTGAGCCATAGCTGAAGCTGTTTTAGTGCTAGATAGAGGTCAGTTTTTCTGCACCCTGATGTTAGCAAAGGTAAGTTTGGGTGTGTTTGACAGGTCTCTGCTAGGTCTTGTGGCTGAAGGCAGTACAAAGTAGGCAGGGCAAGACCCAGCTCCCTGGCGAGGGTGGTGCCTGGAACTTCCTTTTTTTTCTGTTACCTGAGTGTGGGCTCACTTTACTGTTCCTTGTGGACAGACTTACCATCACCTACATCCTAGCACGGAGTGGGGGTGGCCCGAATTTTTGGGGCGGTGTGTGCTTCTGCTCCCTTCTCTTCCTCCTTTTCGCACCACCTCCAAGCATGTGTTCTGAAGGTACAGATTAGCCATGGGTGTTTTCAGACTGAGTATGGGGGGACTGGAGTGGGCATAAGCCTTGAGGGCTTAGGTGCCTGGCGTGGAGAAGGAGAACTATAGGAAGTCCTGTGGTTGGCTGCTCTGTGCTGTGGCCTGTTGTGGAGCCACATAGGTCTAAGAGATGACTTTATCCTGCACTGTATCCGTTCACACAGGGGTGGGGGCTTGGCAGTTGTGTCTCAGGTCCTGAGAGTAGGTGTGTCCACTACCTGTCAGGCACTGCATGTGGGCTGTATCCCATCAGGTCATACTGTTTCCAGAGACCACTATGGACATGGATGTGTGTGAGAGGATGTGAACATTGATGGGTTCAGGGACTCCCATGGGAGGCTTGCTGTCCTGAAGTCCTAACATCCTCCTGTCTTCTAGTGTAAGCCCCTTCAGGGCTTTCCTTGGTTCTGGGTCAAGAGCAGGTAGTTGTGGGCTGGATGGAGCTTGCTCAGCCTGCCAATGCCTTGCCTGCTGGTGCTCTCCTCAGTGGATCGAGAGAGTAGTTGGCTGGCTGGGCAAGGTGTTCCTACAGGACGGCCCTGCACGGCCCGCGTCTCCTGAGGCTGGCAGCACGCTGCGCCGATGGCGCTGCCATGTGCAAAGGTTCTTCTACCGCATCTATGCTGGCCTGCGCATCGAGGAGCTCTTCAGCATCATCCGAGGTCTGCCCCCCTCCTTACAGGGCTCCTCTGCTAACCTGGGGTCTTCCTGTAGCATGGCTCTGTCCCTCTCCTTGTCCACATGGGTGCCTCCCCCCCCCCCCCCGCCCAGCCTGGCCTTCAGTGGTTGCAGGGCAGCCAAGTCATAAGGAGCTGGACCTGTCCACAGAGGCCCGGGCTGTACATCAGGGCAGGTGTGCGGGGTGCTGGGGATGCTGTGGCATGTACTCTACCTAGAAGTGCCCCTTCGTCTCTGTCCTAGGGGTCCTCAGGGGCAGGCATTTCAGTGTGCATCAGTGTTGGGGTGGCATCCCGTGCCTCGCAGATTGCCCTCGCCCTGAGTCCCTGCTCAGCCGCGTGAGCTCTCAAGCTGTACACATCCTCGTGGGCCTCCACACTGGTGCGCGTGCACATTTGCGTGCTGTCTTTCCCTGAGGGTTTTCCCTGTACATCCAGACTTTCCAGACTCCCGGCCAGCCATCGAGGACCTCAAGTACTGTCTGGAGAGGACTGACCAGAGACAGCAGCTGCTTGTGTCCCTCAAGGCTGCCTTGGAGACGCGGCTCCTCCATCCAGGTGCCTGTGTGGCCAGCCCCAGGGCTCAGATGTAGCTCACAGCCCTGGGAATGTAGGCTTGGGGAAGGAGTGGGTTCCGAAGCAGTGCTCTGAGGTTCTCAGGGAGCTGAAGGGCCTTCAGCTTCACCCGCCTTTGGAGACGGTCAGCTTGGCTTGATAGGGGGTCACATGTAGTATTTTCAGAGCAGACTAGCAGAAGGAGGAAAGTTCTGGAGAAAGCACTAATGCATGGATGGAAAGGGGACGGGCACCTGAGCAGTGGCTCTCTGCAGTCCCCCTGGCTCCTGGAAACCAGATTACGGCAGTGCCTCTGGAGTACCTGACCAGTGTGCCCCGACAGCATGCAGTGCTGGTGCTAGGAGGCCGCCGTCCAGAGCGTTGGGTGACGGCCCCTTCCCCTGCTGTAGGCGTCAACACCTGTGACATCATCACTCTCTACATCTCGGCCATCAAGGCGCTGCGGGTACTGGACCCCTCCATGGTCATCCTGGAGGTGGCTTGTGAGCCCATCCGCCGCTACCTGAGGTGCGACTGTAGAGCCCACGAGTCCCTGGTGCTGTGCTGTCGCCCCCCAGAGCTCTCTGTGGGCTCATGGAGGCAGAGAGAGGCTCGGCTCCTGGGAAAGCAGGGTGTAAGGTTCTCCCTACCTGGGATGGTTTGGCTCCTTCCCCTTGTCTGTGCTGGGAGCCTGTCTTTGTCCCCACATGAGTTGCCATATGTGCACAGTGACGTGAGCCCCCCCACCCTGGCAGACTAGGGAAGCAGGGTTGGTGCCACATCACCTTGGCCTGCCCATGGCAAGAAGCAGGGACCGCCGTGAGTGTAGGCAAAGGGAATGCGTTTGAACAGGCATCTTGGCACTGGTGCCCCACCTGGATTCAGGCCTGCCACCTCCTAGCACTGACCAGCCTGTCTTTGGGGCTTTTTGTCTCAGCCTCTGCAGCTCCTCCTGAAGCCAGCTGGGTCTTTCGCTCTCCAGGGTCAGATGAGCCTGCACTGGCCA